TTAAATTTTGTAAAATTAAAAATCGATCTATGATGATCTGCAGAAAATTAACCAATCAGATAAACTTCTGTCTATGAGGAAACGTGTCATGGCCACTGTCGAGCTGCGAAAAGCTATGTTGTGATGAATATGATATGTGGATAAATGTTTCGTTTCTCAATCGCGGGTGACATTTACCTTACTAATTTAAGATGATGGCAAAATTGGTGAATATGATATTGGACGAATTGTTTGTCTATGCAGATTCTCAAAGAAAAAATAAAATGATCATGCAGGAATTGATAGGCATTTACATAGGAATACTTAATATTGTCTATTATTGATCCTATCCCAAGAATATAAAAACTTTATTTACATAAAAGATAAAGATGATTTCAATATATATAAATATCTAATGTGTGTGTGTGTGTATATATATATATATATATATGTAGGTGGATGTTTATACGTTAACAAAAATTATGATTATTGAAAATTCAATGCTTTAAAAATTTAGAGTCGAATATAATTGAAATAATAAGTATAATTATCACGGGATTTTCGGCAATGCCACTCCACAAGTGTTCACGAGATACCATAAAACAAGCGAAGGCACAATAAAGTACCAAATCTGACATAACTCAAAAACAGTGTTCAATCTCGAGGCGATAACTTTCGGTCGTCCATAAATAGAGGTAAATCTTCCATTCAAGTAAAACTCCGTCATTAACATGTCTTTTTCGTTCCATCGAGCGCGCAACCACTCCGCGAATTTGTCCTCATCACTCGGAAGATCACAGAGTCGATATCGACGTATATGAATATGAATGTTTGGTGGGTAGAGTCCTTCAAAATAGATTCGACGCAGAGTATAAATGTCTTCAGGATATTCGCCGGGTTTTACACCTTCTAGGCCGATTGTTAGATCGTAGATGTAATCTACGGATTTTTGTAATTTACTCGAACAGAAATGAAGGCCTGTTGATCGTGGTAATAGTACAAATTTTGGGTCAACCTATAAATAAATATAGGTTAAAATGTAGTCTAACAACAGATCAAATAACATCTCAATGAAACATATATTTTACCAAGCCATTCTTATCCGCGTAATTTTTTGATGTTTTACGCGTAATCTCAGACACTAAAGTCCCTTCTGGGAATATCAGTAGCCATAACGGATCTTTGGAATTAGCTATCTTTGTCAAAGTCTTGTCCATGTTTTCTTTATCTTCTGTCCAATTCCGTTTAAGAAATATGAATTGGAAGAATTGCATTCCCTAATTGTATTAATAAATGGGTGAATAGGTGAATAATCACAGAATGTTTTTTAGTCAATTGAATAATGCGTTTCAAGAGATATCATGTCATGTCACTTTTTGGTGAATAATCTCACTATCCCTCCTGTTTTCAATGAGGATTGAAGATATCCAATAATATAAAAGATCATAGTTAAAAATCTCCAGCCTTTGTACGTTTGTATATCCAAATGATTTGAATTAATGTAACGAAGAAAAAGCAAAATAATTCAATGAGATTAAAATTTATGATTACCCTATAATAATTAATTATATAAATGACAAATATTATTAATTGTTTGAGAAATAAACTAATTTAAGTTTTAATTAATCTAAAAATTTACCATCCGAAAAGTGGCATCCATTTCAAGGAATCTTTTAAGATAATTTTGATGGCGCCATGTGCATTTGCCAAATACGTAAAACACCTTGCATAGTAATAATAAAAAAGCCAATTAATAAGCACGCAATAAAGTTATAACACACCACAATTAATTATATACCATATATAAAGCCAATCTGCATAAATCTACAATCAAATTTCCACAAATTAATTCGATATGTAATTGGGAAATCTAATAAAGATTATTCTCTTGTATTAAATACCTGATGATTAGCAATTAACATTATACGACTCGGGATATTCAACTCCAATTTCGTGCCATTAATCCACATAGTTCTCAAGACATCTTTAGCCGACTCATCAGTTGTAATCACGAAATTGCTTGGTGCAAAAAATTGATTGATGGCCATCAAAAGTACGCCATATGATTTCTGTGTTTGAAGAATGTAACTTTGATAGTAGGCTTTGGAGAAGGGCCAAATTAAAAGTCCAAGGAATTGCGAAAAATTTATGATAACCGATTGTCCGGCTATTAATTAAATTGTTTAGTTTATTTTGTGTTCATGTATGTAATTTGTACAAATCAAATTGGTGACTAATTAAAATCTCGATAAATCAAAAATAACTTGAATAAAATTTCTTTCATATAAACGATTCTTAGAATAAATTCTCGATATAACGATATTTACTAATTATCCCGACCATATCGTAATATCGAGATTTGACTGTATTCATGATATAGGATTTGAACGTATGTATATACATATACACATAATTTCTAGATTTTTGTTTCGTATATCGCGATATAAAGATGTTTGCTTGCACGGATTCTATTCATGAATTTTTTAATCCTGTGTAACAGCACTCATCAACCCGCTTTCATTCTACGTACCATAAAACACACAGAAAACAGCAGTCCGCACCAACCAATGCACAATGTTTGGCGGCGCGTTTTTAGGAGACTCTCTCGTATTAGGCATTACTGTTATTAATACCAATTAGTTAAAGCTACCGATAATTACTGTTTTTGGTTTACTCGCACTGAACGAAGAAAGAAGGCGTTTTTTATAGTTTTACAAAATTAAAGATAATAAAATAGATAAATATTTAGCACTCGTTCATCACAACAACTAAAAGTGGCAAAAAATTATCTATTGTTTTTTATGCGCGACTATTTATATGATTGAAAAGAGTCGGGGCCAGTAAAATAATTACCCCTTAAAAAAATATTGATATACATATCTCGCTTTATTATCCCTATTGTATCGCGTGACCCTTGGATTTTTATTTTGCATATATTGACTTGGACAATGCACAAATTGCATATCGATATCTCGCCAGAGTCCGAATTGTCAGTCTTTTTAGTACTAGTGCTAGGTAACAATGACTATTTTTTATACAATTATTATCATCACATGATTCCTAAATCCCTAATAGTATCTCGAATAGGTTGGTAATTTTTAGCATTGCCACGTGATAGTCTGCCAACTTGGATTACCTGCCATGTACCATCCTCTGCACGCCTTACATAACACATTATTACTGCTTGAGAATTAGCCGCATCCTTAAGAGTGTAATCACATAATTGTTTATCCGGACGCGATTCGTCACACATTTTAAACATAGGTGTTTTGAACTTGCCAATGGTGTCGCAGTTCCATGCACTTAGAATAAAGTAAAGATGGGTGACATTTCCAGGAAGCTTGTCGAGTTTCGCGGTAATTTGGTGACTTCCTATTCATTATAGTTTTTTTAATGAAAATTTGGCGATTAAATTAACCATAACATGTAAAAAGAAAAACCAATTTCCAATTAACCTCTTTGATTCGCGGAATCGATCACATCACCGGAATGTTTCATATCTGGAAAATCTTGATGATTTACATGTCCGTAATCAAACTTAAAAATAAAAGAGTTATCGTTACTGAAAAAAGAATAAATTCTTAAAGAATAAAGGTAAAAGCTTACAATCTTGAGAAGTTCGACCCCACCATAGACCATACAAGTACCATCAAGGTAGTCTTGACCACTAGCAGGAAAACCCCAATTAAGATCAAATACTAAAGATTGAATGGACTCGGCTTCGCTAATGGAATACAAAACAACAATAAGTTGTACATGACTATCATTACGAATACCATAACTTGATAATTTGCTTTGATAATCCTATTGTTAAAAATATCTGATATAGATTATTAGAAAATCCTGCGATCGATAGTTACGTCAAATACTTGCATTTAATTCTTGCCGATTAAATAGTAATTTCTGTTTCGATGTGAGTACACCAAGTTCCAAATGAATTTGTTTTTTTAATGCGAGAACAGTTGGAACTTTTGCCAGATCCAATTTAAGTTTATGTCCATTCAAGAGCACCACATACAGGTGTCCATTCTTTGGTATATTTTCCCCGTCAATCTTATTATGAAGATTTTGCGATAAATGATCAATTTCATGATCAAGTTTAAATGTGGCAGTCTTCCAACTCGTTATAATAAATTCTTTTTCCTTATCATTCATGGGAGAATCACATTCCACACAACGAGACTTTGTTGAGGGGGATTGTTTCTCGACTTTAGCGATAAGACACTTGAAATTTTAAAAAGAAAGGTACGAGAATTAACATGACATATTGTGGTTATTTATCTTTAATTTGCAATGTTTTTTACCCGCAAGCATAAATTGGAAATATGCTCGCATTTATCGGTGACTCTAGTTGGTGGAAATTCATTTGTTAACTTATCGACTTGACAAGCTGAGCATTTCATTGCTTTTTTCTTTGAGAGAAACAGCTGAAAGGTTATTATTGACCGAAAATATACATGTTTCGCTACGGAATTAATTTAAAGTCAAAAACATGTGAGCAAACCTGTTTTGCTATTAATTTGTAAAAATACTATAGGTAATACTTGTGATTTTTATTATTTATTGCTACGCATTAAAACAAAGATATTTAACAAAATCTATAAGAATTTAAAATTCAATTTTTACATGACATCAAATTTGTTAGCATCTCTCTTTGCCCGTTTAGATTTTCCAGATGCACCACGATCATTATCATGAGGACGTCTTACTACTGTATTCATCTTATTCTCCCTCGCTTGCTGTTTCGCCGCTTCAATCTGTAGCAAATACACAATAAAAACCAATTCTTTTTTAATCTTGCGTGGATTGAATAATGAATGGTAAAAAAAAATCAACGATAAAAAATACCTCTAATCTCTTTTTAATCAATTGATAAGCTTCATAAGTATGTTCAACAAGGAATGAATCCGGAAATATCTCGTTCAACATTTCCTCAGTATATTTAGATGGCCAACAATTAAGAGATTCATCACACAGATAAAGTGAAACCTGAACTTTTGGTAAAATAACTTCGCCAGAAAGATATCGTAACATGAATCGTTTCAATGCAGAAACGAATATTTCAGCTGGCAATCGATTTTTGAATCGTAGATTCGATGATTGCGTCATGGATTCGAATTCCACTATTTCCAAAATGTTGGCCTCAACGCCTGTTGGTAATTCTGATTTATATTTGTTATCGATACATTCAACGATTACATCGGCAACTTTATCTTCAATTAGCTCGTATAAAGCGATAATATGCTTTAGTTGTAGTCCCGCTTGTAAGATTTGACGCAGCTCTTTGTTCGTGGTGATTGAAGATGAATTCATCCACTGTTGAATGTAATCCTTGATAGCCATGTCACCATCCCCAAGAGCATTACGTTTCACAAAGCATAGTAGAATTTCCAGCGAAGAAAGAAGCTCCGATGCATTTTCTAATGATAATGAATTCGCTTGTTTAATTCGTTGAGAAGTGCGTGATGATGCTGCTGCTGCAGAATTATTGTGTAACATCAACAGTTTTTCATGTGGAATTGGTTCTTGAGGTATTGCTTTCTTTACTTCGTCTATTAACGTCATTGATCCATGGAATAATTCCATATGATAGGGGAATTTTTCCAGATATATATTATCTTGAATAGCTTCGATGTAAACTTTGTCAAATGTCAATATACGTGCCAATTCAATTTCTATTTTGTATAAATCGTATTCAATCTCTTCTCCATGACCTACTTCGAGGTTTCTTTGACTAAATGTCAGTATCTTGTCATTCCATTCATAATTGATTATATTTGATGGACGAACGTTTTCAAGTCGCATTGTTCTAAGGTAATACTGAACGTTTTGCGGGGGATGTGCGGCCTGTGTTGCAGCAGCAGGCATATCCGTGTCAATTTCATTGCTTCCTTCTTGCTCTAAAAAACGTAAGGAGCGACAATTTTGAGGTGAAATCGCAACCACTTCTTGCAAAAATTCATTTTGTAGACTAATCAAAAAATCTAATACAGCACAAAGGTAGATTGATTCCCCTTTAGGCTCTATCAAACCAAGTACAACTGCCATATTATCATTCAAAGTGGGTTTCGCCACTAACTTGTGGCATTGGAAACGTTCGACCTGATCGATTACAGAGTTCCACGCATTTACAAATTCATAAAGTGTATTTTCCCAATAGCTAGATTCCTTATCATCTGAAGCCGCGATTTGGTCTTCAATAAATTCTCGAAAAGTTAAATGCTGAGCTTGTTTTCGAGTTATACGATGACCTAAACTCTTTGATAAGGTTTGCACAAATTTAACAATAGGTCTAATATTCTGTATCAAATTCAATTTTTGTTCGTGCTTGAAAAATACATCGAGGAATGGGAACTTTATAACGTTTTGTGGTTCCGAGGCAAAATATGCGCGTAGGTTATTAAGTGTTGCATCGCCAATCCTTCGCCAAAGTCTTGGCAAATATTCTTGACTATATAGTTCATCGATTTTCATGGTTTCGTTAATTTCTTTTTCGAAAATACTTCCATGTTCTACTGCGTCTATTTTTACGCGAAGGTCAACGGCTGTTCCATTAACATTTTTTACTAATGGGGTCACAAAACGTTCTGTGAAAAATTTTTCCCATTGATCTCTTTCATTTGTTGTGTTAAGCGTAACTGGATTTTGTTTTGGCTCTTTGACCATTTCGAAAATAATAGCATGGAGTAACAAAGCCAATGTTTCGTCAGTGCAATTGAAGAGTTGTAATAGAACATTCCAGTCATTGTTAATATGATCCAGGCAGTGTTTAATCGGGTCTTCAACGTTACCAATGAAATTATTCGCAACAGACGAGATTCCAAAGATCGCATGAATAAATAAATGTAAGATTCGATATGATGCTGGAGTCATGGAGCGTACACTTTGGTATAAGTCACGATTGCTAGTTTCCACAATATATCCAGTTTGGTCTTCCTGTAAATTTTGCGCTATTGGATTTGCATCTAGCCTCCTTTGTCCTTGAGCTATAACATGCTCTGCGCCTAAAAAAATGATGCCAATTTATTAATTTATCATAAAAAATAATTGGACCATAGCAATAATGCTTGCCTCCGATTACTTTTTTACACGTAGGACATGTTGACGAACTCATCGGCAATCCACATTCTCCTACCAAATACATAGCACCACAATCACATTGATATCTAATTTAAATAATTTAAAACGGAGAAGAAATTAATATCATAGTATTTAGTAAAAATGGTGTACAAACAAGAGAAAATATATTTACCGCGTAAATCTCTCTTGTATTCCCTCTTGTCTGTTTCTTTCATAGAGAGCATTCACAATCACGGAATCCATATTAGGAGGGCATGTCAAAATGAATGCATTTCGACAAGCTTGTAATCGATGCATATATAAGCTCAATGGAGAATGTTCCGACGGGAATGATGCATTAACAGCGATAAGATGCGTAATCACAGAAATTAAAAGTAATTGGGAATTACTAGTTTGCTGACTTAGTCGAACAAGAGGATGTGTATTCTCGAGCAATGCCATGACAATCTGCTTATAGATAGTAGAAAGATTCATTCGTTGTATTTGATTACGTAAAAATTCATATATTCGTCTTTCACCATGATTAAATTCTTGAGCAGCAATTCGAGATGAATGTAATCTCGCGAAAATCAGGCCAATTAAGGCAATGCGTTGATTAACAGCATTATTTTGCAAAGTATCTTTAAGGAAGGCATCAAATTGACTATTGTTTAGACGCGAATAGGAATAGTCATATGCATTTTCTGCTTCGGTGTACTCTTCTATTATCCAATACGGATTAATAGGAAGTTTGCTACGATTGGTATCGCTATCCCAAGAAAGATCTGCCATCCATGGCAACAGATTTCGTTGGACTTGAGCAAATTTTTTTATTTGTTCAATCGAAAATTCAAGAGATCGCAATTCCTTTAAAAAGTAGACTCTTAAAGAATGCACCAAATTATTCTCAAGACGTAATGAATCATTTATATCTTCAATTAAATTGTCAGTATCCATGAAATTGAATTGGATTTCTTGAGTCAATGAACTACCATCGAGAGAATCTACTGATTTCCAAAACGCTTGAACGAATGCTTTAAAGTATGCAATTGATGACAATAATTGTAATGGCTCTGAATTGTTGGAAAAGAGTAATGTTTCGATGGCCGAGTGGAAGCTCGGAGCCAAATCTTTAAATTTAAGCGAGTCGAAAAATTTTTTTTGTATTATATCTACACAAAGTGCCCCCATGTGTGAATCAATGGTGTTTCTTTTGAAGCAGTTATTAATTACTTGTAATTTGCGTGACATTCTTAAAGCCTCTTTGGGAGTTTCAATAATTTTGAAAAACAGATTTTTTTGTTCTTCGTCTTCAGCTCGGAATATGCGCAAAATTATTGATTCCATAAAGAGGAATGGCTCCCGAGAGAATATTTTTTCGTAAAGATGTTCACGGGTTGGTGAATTAGGTCCAATGATATCCAGGCAGCGCGTAAGGAAAGATTGCCGCGAAGTCAAAAGTAACTCTTCCGTTCCTAATTTATCTAATGCTCCCAATACAATGTTGATTGTTTCAATTGACAAAATTTCACTATCAAGATTAGCTGGGGGAATTTGGATAATTTTTCTAATTTCATCAAGAGGAATCGATTTTGTGGAAACTAGATCATTACAGATGCGCAATAAGTTATATAGTTGCATATTCGCTGAAGATATCGAAAGTTTCGAGCAAAGAGGAAGCACTAAATTAACGAGACGTTGCCAGTGTTGTATTTGCCTTTGTGCTCTGTAATTTTTCGGGTTTCCATTCTGCCCTCCTCCCTCTTTAGCAATGTTTGTGAATTCTTCCAGCATCATATTTATTATTTGCCGCAGAAGATAGTCTTCGAAATTTCCATTATTGATGTCATTGTTATCGTCTCGTTGGATTTCAACATGTTTACCCTTGCCTTTATCTTTCTTGGTTTTATTTTCTTGATCAACCGCAGTTTCCACGTAATATTCGTTTGATAGCATCATTTCTAACACTTTTGGACAAAGTTTTACCAAATTCAATTTAGTCACAATAGAATCTGCGTTATTCCACCATAAGATATGAAGTTTAGCGGGATTATTGATGTCGCTCTCGGAAAGTTCAGATCTTATAAGATAGGATAACAGTTTCTCGGTGTGGTTGCCAATTATCTTGGATGAGAGAATCGTAATAAAATCATTATAGTATAATCTCATAGATTGATTTATGAGAGGTGAATGAAGTGAAGGTATTGCCATGAAAATATTTTTTGCAAATTTATTTTGAATATCATCACTAATATGTTTTAAAAGTCTGCCATCATCATCGAGATTCTCATCATCCTCCAATAATTGTGACTCCTCCTCTTGATATAATTTCTTGAAACTATTAATATGGTCGAAAAAATACAAGGAAAATGGGAATTGTAATCTGTGTTGAACATTTGGCATTCTGAAGAGATCCGGTTTCGGTTCTTGTTCTTGCAGTTCCTCAATATTTACTGCTTTTTTGTCTTTAAACATTTCGGACCAGAATTCGAGCAAATTGTTTTCTTCCGATGTGCTATCGATTTCAAAGAATGTTTGTATGGCGGAATATCGCTCCAGAATACACAATATTTGGGCAATTGGTTTTCGAATAAATTCTCGGATATATGATTGGAGAGCCGCCAAGAACGAAGAGTATAAATACAGAGATTTTTTGTTCGAGGCTACTTGCAGTTGCCAATTATTTGAATCATGTTCCAATAAATATTGTCGCACTTTTTCTTCTACGATATTTATAAACTTCGGATGATTTGGTATTTCTTGGAGCAGATATTTTAGATGGACCACTGATTTTGGTGTAGAAGGATATTTATTACATGATAAGCACCACAACAGCTCTCGTTGCAAGATATCTTTAAATGGATATGATGATTCGATTATAGTCACAAGATCACCGGTTAGCAAGCTAGACAACTCTTTCTCTTGTGGAATAAGTAGTTCGATAGTGATTTGTTCCCAGCCACACATAAAATTGAATGAACAAGAATTGATAAGCTCATTTTTACGTTGAGTGTGAAGAATGATACAGGCATGTTTGTTTGGCTGCTTGACGCGAGCTAAATATTCTGATCGAAATTGTTCAATAATAAATTTCGCCAATTTGATGCACCTGGCTTTTACGGTTGACACGTCACATTGCAAAACCAACAAATGCGAATCAGATTCAAGCCAGAATTGTTTTACACGGTTTTGTAGTTGAGCTTCTGTCTTGAAGGTAGATAGTTTGTCGACTTGACATGTCACTAAATCTTGTAATATTGAGCTTACATCGGTGTTGATGTTGGAGAATGTATTTATAATCACTTGATGGCTCTTTCTTCCGGTGTTATCAACTTTTAGTAAATCTTCGAAATAGGCGTAAATATTAATATGTCGTTGATTGAAGAAATAAAAGTTTTTCCATTTTGCAACCTCATTACGATCTGTGCTAGCCAAAGCAGACCTCTCAGATCGTACAATACCATCAGAAGATGCAATGGAGATAAGCGCTTCTTTACACTAATAAAGAAAAACGTATTAAGAATGATCAAATATGAACTTTATAACTTTTTACAAAAATAACATTACCTCTTTAATTATTATTTCCTCATCTAGATTTGGATTTTTCTGGCATTTATCAATGACCAAACTTTGCACTGTCTCCTCATCATTAAACCCAATGAACATGTCTTTTTGTGAAAAGTCCATCTGAGCATTCATGGCCTCTATCTCCACCAATGTTGAAATTTGATGAACCCATGTTGAAAGACGCTGTACAAGATTCTTTTTATGATCATCTAATGTGTCGTTGATACACATTCTTTGTTTCTCGAATCGATTGAGAAGAGGAGGGTCTGCCATTTTCACATCCTTCTCGTCCATTATTAGAATACAACGAAAATCTTCATGGACAAAACACATTGGATTCGAATAGGCGCCTAACGCAACTCGGGTGAAGTGCTTTGGATCATCCTGAGTACCGGCTTTTGGATTTTTGTTATAGTTTTGATTAATTCAATTAAAAAATATTTAACGTCAAAGTTAAATTTACCCATACCAGTTATATAATTCTGATTCCACAAATCGTATAGACTCCCTGTAATATAATTCCAGTAGGAAGATTAACAAAATGAATGGCATCATATAGATATCAAAAATGATGAATTACCATAAATTATTTCCAAATCAGTTAAAATCAAGGTCCGACCAGTTTCAACACACATCTGAGAAAATAAAACAACAAATTAATATACTTATGTTAGTACATATAACAAATGAATAGAACTATTACCATAATACGCCTTAACACAGCATACGAATAATCTTCCTGATCATCCGAGAACGGCGAGCCACAAATAACCTACAAAATTCATTCAACAAGGTTTTAAAATGTTCAACATAACAATCATAATATTACGGTAAAGGATATTAAATTTACCACTGGATCCAAATTTTTCTGACGCAATTGGTATGTTAGAATATCCATTACGGAGTCACTTTTACCTATCACCATTAGATGCCGTGCATCCTTATCATCCAGATTCGCGCTAATTAACTTCTCCACTGGAATTGGCTGGTAATCATGTTGTGAGCCTGATAATAAAACAGTACATCCAGAATTAAGGCTTAGCGATAATTATCATATTTTAATTTTTAAGATTCGAAAATTTATATTTACCATTAAGAATATTTAAAACTTGACCAAAGTATCTTTGGCACAATTGCTGGGTTTGCTCGGTGCCTCCAAAATTACGAACTAGTGCTTCTTGTAATAAATCAGCTAATTTTGTTCCCCAACAAATAAAATACAATGAATTAATTGATTGATAAATAAAATCAAAAAATCGATAGCAATCACATCATTACGATCATAAATCGATAAAAAATTACCCGTCAAATCACCGCTTAAGCTCTTTACTAATGAGTAATAGTCTCGTAATCCTAAAATAGCATATATAATTCAGAATAAGTAAAAATTCGATTGTAAATTTCGCCAATGAAACCTACCATGAAAATTTAAAGGCACTTGATTATTCTCGTGATTCTCGTAATTCAAATAAGCGTCAGCTAAAAGCTCGTAGTACCGTCGAGAAGGGCGAATTCCTTTATTCTCAAGTAATCTTTTGCTATAAACAAAAATAGGAACATGTTCAAAATAGATTATTCCAAACTGTATAAAACAATTAAAAAATGAAATATACAAACCTCGTTTCCAATAAATCTTCTTTATCGAATTTGGGCCTTTGGACGAGAAGTGCCCGACTGGATTTACTATTATCCAACCGCCAATTGCTAATACCAATAACGGAAACTGTCGGTTCACTGTTTGGATAGCTTGGCTCGAGAAGTGAGTGCAAGACTTTAAGTGGATTAAATGGACTGGTTTCTGCCAAACCGACTGAAAATTCAAGTAAATTGTTAATTTACTATTCCAATCATGTCAAGTTTAATCTTTTAGTAAATTATTTCTGCTTACCTTCATCCAATAAAACTACGGCATTTATAGGAAACTCTTTGGAACTTGTTTTTTGATAATTATGAGCTTTTTCGAAAACTTTGAGAATACCATCAGAGGTCGACGATGAGGAGCCTTGATGGGGAATAACATATACCTATATAAAAGACAATGATTAATAAATCTCCCAATAGGATTCATAAATGTATGATTAATCACCCCTGGTAACTTTTGAAAATATGGATCCTCCGAGTCAGATCCACGCAGATTTTGGCTAATGAGCCGTATAGCTAGCGATTTGGAGCTTAAAAAAATGATGGCTTAATTTAATCACAATATACATTATCATTGAATAAATTACAATAAAAAGTTACCTTCCGGGAGAACCGATAATAAATGCTGGAATACGATTTAAAATGCACACTATCATCACGAGAATATTTTCAAGTAGTGCCGAATTGGCAGCAATTGAAGGTCCAGTTATCATACGATAATAGTAGTCTTCTTGTTCTTCTTTTATTATCTCACTAAATTCTTTTTCGTTCATATTGTGCTTCATCTTTTTAAATATTAGACACATTTTTTCTCGATATTGTTTTCGCAAATCTTTTTCACATAGTCTTGCCTATAAAAATTTTATGAATTCTGTCGTCGGTTTATCAAGAATCAAAAAATCAAGATGTATTAACCTGATAACACAATCCTAAGGCGAGACAATAAGAACGAACAATAATTGGATAACGACTTGTGTTTGGATAATTGCCGTATCTTCTTGGATTCTTCGGTGCTGGCCTTTTATCAAAGCTCTTATAGAAGAATAAGAATAATTTAATAGCACGCTTAACGTCGCGCAGACTGACGCTATATGACTATAAGAATAAAATATTGGTTAGTTAATTAATAATAAATAGTATCTTCTATCTATTAATTAAAATAAATATTTACCTCTTCATGTTTCCGAATGAATTCTTGTGATTCAAATAATAAATCATGGAAACCAAATTTAACAGAATTCGGTCTAAGCGATCTCTCTACCATAATTTTAATGTACATATACTCATCCTCCGGCTTCAATATACCATAATCCCAAACATAATCCAAGAGCTGATCAGGCAGAGGATGTACTTGATATACTAGTTTGCTCTGTTCCTCATAACGTAGTTTTCTTTTAGTTAATCCTGCACTTTTTTGAGCTTTGGAGCGTAATCGATACCTATAATAAAATTTTCAATTTAACTCCAGATAGTAATAATACCATAGGAATTATCAATAAAAGCTTACGGATTTGCTGCTGCAAATAATCTAATATTATGATGTATAAGCTTTCCGTTAAGAGTTCGGTGTGCAATTAGATCAGCAAGAAGTCCAATATGATTGCAAGTGTTTATTTCATCAAAGAACAACCATAGCTCTCCGTTTCTCGCTTTTTTAGTAGCATCATTAATAAATGCATAAATTTGGTCTTCTCGTATTCCTGCGTGTAAATTCAAAGCCTCGAATTGAACTTCAATGACAATCGATAAGAAATGTAAAAGGCTTGTCTATGCACAATAATGGTAAAATTAAATCTTTATATACACCAAATAAAAAGGCATCCTGATACAAAAAGAATGAATACCTTTCCGCATCCTGCTTCTCCACAGATAATCACCGGTATATGAGCACGAGCTCTCAATAGAATAAGCGCCATTTTCAACAAGTTATCTGCCGATAAAGCATATGATGGTAAATTTAATTTGTGCTGTGCTCTCCGAGCAAGAGATTCCAATTTTTGTAGTAAAACATCTGGCTTCATTTTATGATAATCTTCCAAAGCCAAATTTCGGCCATCAACTTGTTGACTTTTTAGAAGAATTTCAACATTGGCTGGTACTTTTTTTATGTCACTGTAAAATGCCGCAATAGAATCAGGTAATTGCGTTAGAAACACTACCAATAGATGATTCGATTCCTCCCATGCTACAAATAACAAAGAATAAAAGTGAACATTTATTCAATAAAAAGGATAAAAATAAATCTCTCTTTAAATAACATACGTAAGATAGATCCTAATCGTGCAGTATCCGCTTCAGAAATATTATCCAATTGTGCTGTCTTCGATGCAATTGATCTTGTCGCGAATTCTTTGCTCGTTTTAATGAATTGTTGCATCAATAAAGAGCGAATATCACGTGCTTTTACCATTAACCGAAGATTTTCGACTTGAAAATATGTGCTTGTCGACATACGGATCAACTGATCAGCTAGCACATTGACAAAAATCTCGATAAACCGATACGAAGACATACTTTCAGCATCATCATCTAAAAAGTACTGTTCGATTAATTCTTTGCAACGATTGGCTTGTATTGGGGTTCCTACATTGACTGAAATGTCCGTTTGATCAAGAAATCCAAGATCATATGCATCAAGATATCGAGCCACCACCTGGATCGGGCTTGTAAGCTCATATGATGGAATGAATCGAGTATTATCCCAGGTCAGATGATGATGTGAGAGATATCTAGTGAGTGGAAGCGAGTTAAGAAGATATTGATCCACAGTAGACGAGACCTCTATGAATATTGGTGTATCTGGTAATTCTGCAATATCCACCTCGTTTGAGACCATGCCCAATGTTAACAATTCAAAGAAGAACATATTCACTTCACCGGGATGTTGAATGGATAAAATATTTAAATGCAAACTTTCATACTTGTTTAAGTTGCTTTCCTTCAACTGACGCACAAGATTCCCAAACTGAATTCCATCACTAACTAGAAAGGTTCGTGGCATTAAACCTTTTTTCATACTTGTTTGACGGATCCATTCAGTTTTGCCTTGTCCAGATAAATCTGAAGAAACACACATCACTTTTGGACATAACTCTGCGTAAATATTTCTCATTGACTGAACATCGAGACCCTTAGTGGCATGAACATGTTCCCGGAACTGGTCGAGAATGTGGTGATGAATTTCGGATTCTCTGCAACAAATCAATGCCAAATTATATTGCTCCCTTTTCCTGCATAACAATCTAATATCATTCACCAGACTATATTGGAGCTCAAAATCAAGTACTTCCAAATTGGCTATACAAAAGATATGTTCATCTGCATATTTTTAATTTGACAATTAATAGAATTTTCTTATCAATAATTATTTCACAAACATACGATTAAAAAATAGGATAGAAAATTTGCCTTACCATATCCATTGTTCGCAGCCCAAAAACATCTTTTTGTAAAAAGAGAAAGTTCTTCTGAAGTTGTAGAAGAACGACATATAAGTATCTGCCAAGGTTCCGGATAAGTTCCGTGATTAGCGAAAATTGACATGATTGTATTTTCCAATCGTTCTTTTTCGCAAGAAGCAACAAATAATTTGCCAGAGTTAACCACATCAGAGGGAACATATTCGATTAAGGCAGAAATTTTTCGAATTCTTTTTGGCGTGTTTTCAATTATATTGTGCAATATTTTGCCGATTTCTCTAAGGATCCTCTCATAAGGTTCCTTCTTGAAATTAAACTTATTATAATTGGTTGCTGGTGGTAATTTGGCTTGTTTATTGACATACGCCAAGAGAGTTTCGCAATTCTTTTTATTTTCAGGATTATTCTTAGAATTCCCAATAAAATAATCAAAGAATGTCAAAATATGACGTGCTGGATAAAATGTCAAGTAATAGTATTCTTTTTGAATTCGATCAATGGTAGTTTCCCTATTGTAAATGAATTAAGTATTAATTAAGATTCTCCGAAAAATATAACCAACAAATAAGACAGAAGATTTTTCTACCATTCATTCAAGTCATGCTTCAGGTTCTCAAGCAATTCGTCCATCTCTTCTTCATTTGCAGCCTTTTCTTCAAACTTTCGATAAGAATAGTGTCCTAATTGCATTAGTTTTGATGCGACATTCAGAATTTGCTGTGCAAGATCTACGTGATGAACAAAATCATTATTATATTTTTCTTCGTGATCATCCTCTTCCTCGCCATCAATCTCCATAAGTTGAACCGAATTCGATGACTTTGCGATTAACAAAGCACGGCCTCGCAAATCCAGTAAATCATTAAGGGTATATTCGACGAGTTCTGCCTGTGATGGGTAAGTTAATAATACATCACACTTGTCCTCTTTTTCTGGGCGTCGAAATACATAAGTTCCTATTGTAACTGCATTTTTGATCCGCTTTTTTGTTACTTCTCCTTTGCTAAGAATATTATTGCACATGTTTTTTAATGCAAGATTGTGTGCATTGCAAAGGGCAATTTTTTTCGAGAGTGTAGGATTCTTTTTTGAAATTTCTGATAATTTCTCGGTGAAAGCATTAATGCTTGTCATTCCTGCATACAAAATATTTAATTAATGTATATATATATATATGAATCAGGGAATGTAATAATATTAAAATACCACGGCTCATGACTGGAAGCAAAAATTGCTTGGCTTGAATTAAAGAAGACACGGTGTCTTCTTGTATCAACCGCTCGTCTGAATGATCATCTACGGCATTAATTAAATTTTTTAGATCATGTTCTGCGACAGATTGTAAAAAAAGAATAAAATCTCCAGCATTCGAAAGCTCTTTGATTAAAGACCAGCAACCGTCTTTCATGGAACCATACTGTTTGTTTAATTCATTAAAAGTCTGTGATAAGTTTTCTAACAATCTCTCTTGATCGCGAAGATCTTGTAATAGCCTAGGGAGTCTTTTTTTATTATCTGCAACTTTAAATATTTCTGCGGCTTTCCCTCTATTTTAAAAAAAAATCAGCGATTTTTTTAGTAAATGAATTTGTGATGATAATATTTCATAAGAAAAAGACTTACAATTGTTCAAGTCGAGAAATCCACATTGGAATAGCTACGAGGTTCAATACTCCTTTCTCAAATTCCCTGTTTATGTTCAAGCGTCTGCATTCTACTAAGAATGCTAATTCCTCAGTGACATTTTTTGTATTTTTCCATAGTTTGAGAGCAACTGAAATTTTCATCTTCTTCCAGTTATTACACATTTTAATTAATTCGTCAAATGCGATGAATGTGGCTGGCATAACATAGTTTGCTATCTCCAAAACTGACAAATCACGAGCTTCTTCTTCCAAGCAATCTTCGAAAACATTGGCAAAAGTCTGCGACTTTGTAAAAGTATAGGATTGTTCCGCAACATCAATAATTGGTTCGTGTTTATCCCAATGATCTGCATAGAAATGAAATTAACATAATTAGAATGTTTGATGATTTTATTAACATTCATTAGATGATACTTACCCGGCGATAGCGCTTCACCCAATGATATTTTATCAAGTGATCGCATCCGTATCTCAATATCATTGTTATATTCTTGGGTGTCGGTCAATCTTTTATCGGCGCAAAAATGAGTATAAAAGTTGTTTAAATGCTTCAATTTACTTTCATATGCTGAACAATCTTCGCGAAGTGTTTTAAGACGTTTTTCAGTAATATCAAATTCTTTGTTGCAAGCTCCAAAATAACGAAGCAATTTTTGATTTGGATGTTTTAGCACATTCCGAAGCAGATTAAAATTAATGGTGTCCTCTCTGATAAGTGTGATGAGACGAATAATAGCATTTAAAACTTTTTGTATGTAAACATGGGAACGTAGGCGTTTCACTGAGCCAGAAGCTTGCAAAATCATCACCCAAAAGTCAGAAGAGTCGAGTAAAGCGACATGAAGATCATCAGTGGCAATGTCCTCAGCCAATAACAAAGAATTTTTCTTCTGCAATCGGGTCATTATACAAGATAGTATCTCCTCGCATAATCTATTTATTAATAAAATGTAAATAAAACAAACGTTAGACCAGATTTGTTCAATAATATTGTAAGAGTGGGAATTTTCTGTCAAACTACTTACTTATTAGGAACATTTAATTTCTGACTTGAATTAGTATCACAAATATTCCTTATATGTTTCATTAGTTTTACGTCGGTGTTTTGAACAACATTATCCAAACGCTTCTTGATCACTTGCTCAAAACATTCTACAATCTTTGGATTAAAATTACGTCCAATTGAAGAGGTGGATTTGAATACAAGTTCATCAGTAAATTTTTCAACCTGCTTGACTGCAGTTCGTTGTAATTGTTCAAATAATGAATCATTTTCAGCGATAATAGGGTATATTTGTGATAGATAATTAAAAATATCATTGACAAGCTGATATCCCGCATTATCGCCACAAACGAGGGCGAGTATGTGTTGATACCAATGAATGCAAATTGTTGATGTTTTCCTCCAGAAATTTCGATCTTTATTAGATTCTATCACATTCTGCAAAAATTTCGGGAAATCATTTAGTAAAAGTAGATCTTGAGCTTTACTGACGAAATCCAAGGCTTGAATAGCATCATCACTCGTCCAAAAGAGCCTTTTTTCAGATAATAATTTAGAAATATATTCAACATTCTTCTTGTTCCATTTATTTCTTTGATTATATAACAGATTAAGAACTTTCTCTCGTATCTTTCTCGCCACTATTAGATTAAATCCAGATGGCATTGTATCGAGACACACATACAAGCTCACTGCATTTTTCGAGGCAATCAACTTATAAAAATGTTCGCGCATTTGATCATGAAGTTCTGAGTAAAGAAGCGGATCTTCTTTGACTTTATCCCAAACGATATCTTCCCATAAAAAGGAAAGCATGTCGATGGTGGCAGTAAGTCCGAAAAGTTTCTAAATTTGTTATTAATTAATATTCATTTAGTCAAATGAAAAACAAATAATAATATCATACCTTAATTATATACAAATAACGGATGGTTGATGTTATTTTATCAATTTCTGGCAATACAATTTCTTTCAAGGGGGTTTTAAGTAATGAAGCAGCAGCTTCATCCCATTTTTGTATATGATCTAAAAATTCGTACGCGGGATCTATTTCAGGCGCCACAGAAAATAAATTCATCCACTCAAATCCCGTAAAATTTGGTGATGAATTGTGTCTTACTAGAGCCGTGATTGCAAGTCTAAGAAACCGCGTTGTATTCGAAGGTAAGGTATTTGATCTAATAGCACAAATACCTTCGAGCAAAGGTACAGAAGGAAAAACTTCCGGAAGCCGAACTTGATCAAATCTCTTATTCTCATACTCTTCTATGTGATAGCCTAAAAGTAGACATAGGAATATCTTTTGATTGAACGAATCGGCGTCCATTGCACTCTCGCTTATGAAATGCAAATTAGTAGCGGAATTCATTGCCATAAGATGTTTCTTTCGTAAAGATTGATATTCTAATATCATGTCTTTTAAATTATCCGCGTTCAATGACATGTAAAGATCTTTGACAAAATAACATTCTTTAAGAGTGTTCAAAGAATAATCCCGACTTGATTTCCAAATATCATAAAAATCTTGTTTTATAATTAACTCTCTGTTATCGAATTCACCATAGCCTTCAAAAGTAATTTCTTTTTTTGGCCATGAAAGATATGAAGGTGGATTCCATATAGCATATTTATAAAATATGTTTTTATTTACATAGGACGCAGGAATTTTGATGGGATCCGAAATCCAGTAATCGATATTGTCACCGGCGAAACGATGAAGCTTCACAAGTGGTGTTTTCCATTCTCCCAATTCAGGAATATCGCCAAGTACAATAGGTGTGCTATTCTTAGATAGATTTGGAGGCATATGGACATGAAAAGTAACTATGAAATTTTCTTCAAGATTTTGAGGTGATTTTTGCACCTGCTTTGATTCAGCGTTACTCTGATGAACATTAGATCGTTTAAATGTACTTTTGTAAATAGTGTCAGGCTGTTTATTTTGATCATTATTTGATGGATTATATGACCCATTATTATGGTTGTTATTGATATCGGTATTGGTACCATCACTCTCATCACTCTCGTCATCATCTTGTTTTTCATCATTCGACTGATGATCTTCGCTATTTTGATTACCTTGTTCATCATTCGACCGAAAATTTTCGGCATTCGGATCATCATTCGACTGATGCTCTCCAGTACCTTGTTCATCATGACCTTCAAGATCTTGTTGATCATTGAAGGGATCTTGATCTTCAGTGTCCATTCGTGACGCTAAAGTATCGTTAGTACTCGAACTGGCAGCATTTTCAAGAGGATTATTTTGATTATTTATTGCAATATTACTATCTACAAGAGTAGCAGCAGGCTCGATTCCTCTATCAGAAGATTCGGGTTGATTTACCAATTGTTCATTATCTTCTGGGTCTTGAGGAGTCTTATTTCTTTCATTTTGTTTATTTTTTTCAGCACCTGAAAGCGTTTTATTCTTTTTATTTTTTTTTGATTTCATTTTTTATTACAAAAATTACAAAAAGAAATAATGTTCCCGCCCTCTACACAGAAAAATGATAAATTCCCACATCCCAACACCACATGATTATAATGAGCACTTTTACGGGAAAAAAAAACAGGTTATATAATGTTAACATAGATAAATTGATGAGGTGATGATTCGGGTTACTGAAGTTCCCATGAAACCGTTCCTTACATTAAAACAGGTTTGCTTGCTTCTCACAGTGTTCTTTTAGTTTCATTTGTTACTCATTATTGTATTATCCGCGTAAGAATAGCAATGAAATGTTCAGTTTGTAAAATTGACAAGTTAACAAATGAGTTCCCACCAACAACTGTTACCGAAAGATGCAATCATATATCCACCTTGTGTTTGCGGGTAAAAAGAATGTAGCTTTTCAAAGCAAAATATTATTTCTCTAAGTTAATTCTCAATAAATCCTTTTGAAAATTCCAAGTGTCTCGTTACAAAAATCAATAATCAGATAAAAGAACCGCAAACGCCCTCAAGTAGCTCCTCTCAACCTTCGAGAAATTCTGGAATTCGTTGTGTAGAATGCGAAACTCCAATGAGTGAAAGTGAAAAAGAATTTCTTTTTACATTTTGGAATAATGCTTCTTTTAAACTTGACAACGAAATCGAGCAATTATTACAAAATGCGAATAATAATAATAATAATAATAATAATGGTGATGATGTTGAAGAAACTGCCCAAGATGGCGGATATATATACGTAGTGCTACTGAATGGACATAGAATTAAATTGGAGCTGGCAAAAGTTGCTACGGTACCGGCATTACGAAGACAGATTCAAGAACATCTTAATGTGCCTATATCAAGACAGAAATTGCTTTATAATCGTCAAGAATTGGATGCACGTATCTTAATTTTTATTTTCAGTTTAAATATCGATTATTCTAGCATCGTTATGGAATGCTAATAATCTCTATCGTTGTAACACAGGATCTTGATAATCGTCAAGCAAGAAAATTATCAGATTATGGTATTCGTAACAATAGCTATATACAACTGATTGTTGTCCTTTATTCTATTTCCAAAGCAGAAGCTATTCGATCTTTGATATTTGAATTGAATTGGGGCTTTCCAGACAGAGGACAAGATTATCTTGATGGCACATGTATGGTCTATGCTGGAGCTGAACCTCTCATGAAAGTAGGATATCGAGATTTCATTCCCCTTTCTTTCTGATTAGGATTAATCTTATTTCTCCTACTATTTTTTTTTCTTCTTCAAGTATGACTATATGTCTATTTATTATCCAAAATTTCCACATATGAGACATTATGGTGATAACATCGATGCCGTAAATTCAAGAGGTTAATATGAAATTTATTTTCTTTTTTTCTTTACAATAGTATTATAATTTATTGGACAACATGCTCTTTTATATATTGTGATTGAATAGGAAACCACAAAATCACCGCGAAACTCCATGAGCTTCCCGAGCATGTCACACATCTTTACTTTATTTTGAGCGCATTTCAGTCCAATACTATCGGCGAGTTTAAAACGCCTAACTTTAGATTGTATGATGAATCGCAACCAGATAAACAATTATGTACTTACACCATTCAAGATGCCTCCGATTCCCAAGCGGTAATAATGTGTTGCGTGTCGCGTGTAGGGAATGGAATGTGGCATGTAATCGAAGTTGGTAAATTAACAATTGGCAATGCTAATGATTATGATCCGATTATGATTTCTATTTCAGAAGTAGGATTAGCGTAATAGTATATGTAGTGGTTATTTAAATAGTTTCCATTAGATTCAGAAATAAAACCTTTGATGAAATCGCAAAATTCTCATCTATATGTGGCACTTACTCAAACTCAAATTGAGATCTGCAAAAGTGACAACTGTTCACGCATTAAAAAAAACATTCATGTGGAACTTGGTGTACATGCGTCGAAAATTTAATTGGCAAAGAATGTATTCTGTCTTGACAATGTATCATCATGGGCGATAGGATTTCATATTGAAAAGCAAAATTTCAATTATGGTATTCGTAATGATGGCGATCTATTATTTTGAGCTTTTCTGCTGAAGGTCAAAGATCTACAGATCATCCGAATTTCCTACAGTTGGTGTGATCGATTTCCGCGAATCATGGATCGGTTTTTAATCACCAATTCTACGCCAAATCACCGGGAACCTCGACTTTAAGTGCATGGAAATTGGCAAGTTCAATCTGCCTATGTTTAGAATGTGCGATAAATCGCACCCGGATAAACAGTTGTATACATGTATCCAGGTGCAACTAATTCTCAAGCGTTAAGAATGTCAAAAGTAATCCAAGTTGGTAGATTATCATCAAGCGGGAACGCTGAATATTTATTCATTCATGTGCACCATGAACATATTGTGATGAAATTTTGCATTGCATCTACGTGTTCCTGCTAATAAAAGCTCCTTAAATAGGAGATGATAAGCGCCGGTTAGATTCTCTTTCAACATGCTCTTTCAACGAGACTGAAAGACTTAAATAATTTATCTCTCTCTAACGGTATTCCTCTTTTTCGGAGGTTTGTTCAATACAAATCTTTTAACTTTCATTATTAGAAACAAAAAATTTAGTTATTAACAGTTTACAAATTATCAATATGTAATTCTGGTTATTTTAATGAAAAAGTTCAAGAATCCTTTCCTCCGATAATAAAAATTCTTATTTTTATTTTATATAGTACATCGTTATATAAATTTTTCAAGAAAGTTATCAACAACTTGCATCTTGATCATCATTACAACAATGTAGTTTCGTCACACAAACATAAATGAAATTCATCAAACTGCCCCAATCAAGAAACGTATTATACAATCCTTTTCACCTTTTTTTACTTGAAATTTTTTATCTAAAAAATTAATTATTCAAATATCGAAAAAAACGTCGAGTTGACCCATCCATCATCCCTAGACAATACCATCACAAGATAATATACCCTTTTCACGACTCGCACGAATAAATTTTCGTATTTTTTCTAGTTTTTTTCGGGCAATTTTCCGGGAAAAATTCATCGAAAACTCGAAACTTTTTTTTCGTCTTCTTAATGCCAATATCCTAAAAAAGGTAGTTTTCTAATGAAAGTTGAGACGCGTCTCAATTCTCCATTGTCTTTTGCTTGGACGCGCTCGTTTCCTATATACATCGATTTTGATTGGCTAATAGTGAGGCAAAATTGCTGCGCCATACGAAAATAGAATGTCGATCACAACAGAAAGCTATAATAATGTTGATAATTAACCTTATTTAACTTTTTCTTTCAACAAAAGTAAACGCAACCATCAGAAAACAAACCTTTTCTTTACGCTAGTAGAAATTTATCATTAAAACGAACACTACGAAACTAAACGCTATTCCCATACACACTTCACAAGAGATTCACAATATGTACGAAAACTCTCAAAATATTCGCGAATATACCCAAAATGATAATAACGAGTCGGAATCAGAGATTCAGCTGGAACAAGGTAAATGAAAATATATTTTCTTTAATTGTCCCAGAATTCGGAGCAGAATTTCCTCACGACATCAGAAAATATAAACTTAGTTTTCGTTTAAACATTTTCTCGGACATTAACCACTTTAAGTCACAACGGATTAAAATAACATGGTTTTTACTGATTTAAACAGTACAATGTTCATTATAAGGAGGTTCTTTTTTACAAACTTTTAGCATTCGAATAGTAGTAATCGTTTTATGCTTGCTTCTCCTCTCCAATTAGACTTTGAATAATAGTAGTATAGTCAATGAGTTCAACTTTTTAAATGAACTTTTCCTTTCATTTGAACAGAAATCACATTCATAGTCGCTGCCTATCTAGAGCAACACCCGGCCTTACACACTGCATTTAAAGAAGTACAGAGAGTTCTAGACGAGAACCCCGAATTGCTACCGCGACGGATAGATTTCACAGGACAAGAACACGTACAGAAGTACGAAGAAGTTGTAAGCATATTTCATCACCAATCATCTTTAGGCATCACTACTTTATTTATTTTAGGATATGGTGGTGATGATAAAATAATCTATTCTGAATCCAACGTCTATAGAAAAGGAAACATCAAGGATATGGGGCAGATTATTTACGTCGTGTTATGCGAGCGCAACTCGTTAATAAATCAAATCATGTTAATGGCTCACACAGTAGTAACAGTCTCTTTCAAGGAATACCTAGTGAAAGAATTCCTCTAAGTTTACCGAATCAAATCCCCACAAAAAAAACCCCTCCTAAAGGTACAATATTGATCCGAGTTTTGTTTTAAATATCTTTTGATGATAAGTAATTTGACACATTTTATAGATAGTACTCTCGTGGACACATTCGAGTCGCGGGAACTTGGTGGATCATATTCACGATCCAAGTTTGGTGAATCTATTTTCCAAGAATTTGAAGAAGTAAGCTCTCTACTCGCTTTGCTATGGTTATTCTTAATATGATTATTGTATTTACCTTGTTTTTTCTCTATATATGCTCGAAAATAATTAGAGAGCAAGTTTCCGATGCCACTATGGTAGTACATATGTAAACATATTTGATCGACTGAACATGCGATTATTCACAGTAAATATCCTTTTTGCCATTCCGGTCGCGTTCTTTGTTTAACTACAGAATTGTAACTACAGCTAATTGTAACCTTCATTATTGCAGGGAGGTGATGACTGCCTTGTTAAAGTTTGGTGCACAAACACTGCGGCCCTAATAGCAACATTGGCAGGGCACGATGATGCCATCAGTGATATGAGTCTGAATAAAGAAAGCACTCTGCTGGCCACATCCAGCAACGATTGCACTTTAACAGTCTGGGATCTGAAGACGTATTTCCCAATATATAGGTTTAATGCGGTAATTTTTACTTTCCCTTACATGTTCTAAAAACTTTTAATTTCTATCAATAATTAATTTTTCTTAAAATAGAATGATATGATGACATCTATCGCGTTCGCGCCATCTCCAATACCTCAATTAAAGTATCTGCTTGCAACGAGTGATGACGAGATGACGTATATATTACCAATTGAATCTGATAATAAGTTCAGTGAACCCGTGTGTTTCCAAGCACGAAGCACAGTCGGAATCAATAAGATAAAATGCCATGCGTTTAATTCGACTGGCTCATTATTTGCGATTGGTGGCACGGATGGTCTCGTGAGGGTGTTCTCCTCGATAGATGGTCGTAACTTTACTCCGGATCTTTATGATCCCACAATATTCAGATTGGATGACGATGTCTTTCAGAGATACTTTGACATTTGTGATGAATATGACAGAATATCGTCCGATAACGAAGACGAACTTTCAAATAAGAAAAAGAATATTTCCAAAAAAGGAAAAGACACAGAAAAAGATGTAGATAATGACGTGATAATGAATGGCACAGAGATCAGATTAGATGAATATAAGAACGAAACTACAGCTAATCAAATGCCATTAGTAGATTATTACGGTGCAGAAATTAGCACAAGTAACCATTTTAAGATGCCTTCATCATCAATAAACCCGATCGAGAAACCTCAAATAAGTAATTTATCGAATAAATTAAAAGGGAAGGAAAAGGAACATGATCCGGAGGAGAAGAGTAAGATCAAGATAAAAGAAAACGGGACGGTAAAAACCAAGGGGAAAGGAAAACAGCGTGAAGACGACTTTACGGAGAATAATCCCGATGGCGATGATCCTAACGCTGATGCTCCGCTAAGACGACCAACTCATTTAGCTGATTTAGATGGCCACATCAAGCCTGTGTTATCCCTAGCATTCTCACATCAAGGAAACCGGATACTCTCTGGGTATTTCATCGTTTTTATGATCACTCGTACAATATATAACAAATAAATATTAAATTCTAATTTCATAGATCGACAGATGGGACAGCTCGTATATGGGATTATGACTATGATGTGAAAGAGTGGAAGTCGATACCACGTAATTAAAATATAAAGATATTTAATTCCGTTTATCAATTTCAATAGATAATATAAAATATGATTATTAATACATTATCAGTGTCAGTTAACAGGAATGATTCTGATGGAGTCAAAGACGAAGTGACTACAGCTGTATGGACTCCCGATGATCGTAGGGTCATTGTAGGGTCCAGCTACGGACACATCTTCATATTCGATTCAAGAGATGGGTCAATTATATTTACATTTAAGGATCACAAAAAAGATGTCTTTGTTCTTGAGATCCACCCTATGTTTAAAAACATCCTTTTAAGTGCCGGGTACGACGGCTTGATCTGCTTTTGGGACATAAGCAGCGGTTCTAAGATAAGAGGTGAATGAGAAGACTTTCTTTCAATTTTAAACACTTAAATATTAATATTAATTTTGATTGTTTAATTTCATCGTGAAGAGTTCAAATATTCGACAGATGATGATAATGACGACGAGGAGGACCCTAATGATCCTGTTGTGCAAGAAGAACGAAATAAAAAATACGTGTTCGTCGACGGGAAGTTTAATCAGGATGGTAAGTAAATTTTTCGTCTATAAAAAACATTGTCATAAAAAATCTAATCTTATTGTTTGATCAAAAGGAACGATGTTTATGGTCGCTGAGGAAAGAGGTTTTGTTAAATACTTCACTGTTGGTGATGCGCGTAAACTGGATATTGTCGCGGAGAGATTTCCAAAGGGACAAGGATTTATGACAGATTCATATAATGTTTTTGAATACGGTTTTCCTACCTTGGAAATTGATCCAGTCACAAAAGTTCGTAATGTTTAGTTACTATTCGCTTGTCTATCAACTCTTAAATAAATTTTTCTTTTTATTCTTAGATTCCCCTTCATCTAAAAAATCGGGGTCCTGTTATTGCACCCGGATACGGTTTTGCATATGATCATCAGTTGGCTAACGATTATGGTTCGTGTATTCTAACCTAGATAAGATTCATTTTTGTGAGTATTAAAAAGTTTTTTTTTTGAAAAGGCCTAAATTGGCCAGTCGGTGTTTCCCCAACGATATTACGGAAACAAGAGAACCACTTGAGATATACTTGGAGAAGGGAGTTGAAACGGTAATCTTTAATTCATTTTCTTCAATTTTTTTTTAATTCATAATTGCAAGATAGTGTATTAATTAATACATATATATGTGCGTGCCTGTAATCTTTTTTAATTAATAGATGGGTATCGTCTGGTTTTAAGATGTAAGAATTTAAAATGTTCTTTAATTTCATCAAGTAATTACATTGTAACTAAAATTATTTAACAATTTTTAGGTATATATTACCAAAAACACGCCTATATCAACGCCGGAGCAAGTACCCAAGTGTTGTGATTGAAATAGAACCAGAAGATGATCCTCTCGCCATCGATGAGCCAATACACCCGTGAGTAGTAGTAATATCTTAGCAATAATTGTATTTTCATTCATGCTCTCTTGATAATAACAATAATAATTTATTTTAGGCTTCCGCCAGAAGACGCTGAAAATTACGAACCGAGCGACTATACTCCGTCCACTGACGACACTGAAGATGAATACGCTGATAGTGACTTAGACGCTGAGTGTAAGGATCGATTTTTTACTTATTTGGATTTCTTCTAATTTTTTCCCCTTGAAATATTTAGAGAATATCAAAATATTAATATTATTGTTAATTACTAGTAAATAATATGGTTTCTAGTGGGCGCCCACAAAGACACAATGACTATTATGACATTGAAGAAGAAGAAGAACCATATAATAAGAGGACCAAAACAAGGTCTTCGAGTCGGTACAATACAAGACACGCGTCCTCAACTCAGGCCGAATCTTCAGCACATTCTCGGCGCACCACCACAAATAGTCGTAAACGAAAAGCGGAAAGTGATATTGATTTCAATTTTGATTATGAGGAAACAGAAGGTAAAAACATCATTTTTGCTACATACTAGTATTGATTATATTGAGAGTGAATAAATGATAAATCATTTTAAACTATTAAATCTTAATAGTTACAACAAGATCGGGAAGACGCTCAACTCGAAGGCGAGTACAAATCAACTATCGCGAGAATGATTACACAGACTTCGAGTCCGATGCCTCCGAAGCTTCGTACAAACCAACAACAAAAAAGAATGTAAGGTCCAAAAAGAAGCCAGCACATACGCGTAAAACAAAAAATGGTAATCGAATTATTGGGTCAAATAGTCGCGCAAGTTCGTCAACCAAAAGGATTATCTTCACTCCAGATGAATCCGAGAATTCTGAAGATGATTATGATCCGATGAATTTCGAAGAAGCAGATGATTTAGTCGTTGAGGACATTGTGGTGGACAAGGATGAACATCACGAGGAAAACGGCAATGGCGAGGTTGAAAATGATACATCTGCTGTCGCTGCCGCTGCTGTTGCTGATAATAGTAATGCTCCTTCCTCCTGGATTAGGATTGAAGATTCTACACTTACTCCATTCCATCCTCAGGTATGTTTGTGTTTCTACCTTTGCTATTTAAAGCGTTATGAAATATTCGGGTGTAAATATTATGGTTGTTTTTCTTTGTTTAGATTGGGGACGTTGTCGTTTATTTCCGACAAGGGCACGAACAATACTACAGTCATATATTGACTAATTTCGGCGAAACACCGTTCGGTCAGCACCTAGGATCGGAACAAGCAATGAAATTGCTCCCTTGGAATAAGGATGCTTCTCTTGGCAACGTCTTATACGCTAAAGTTAAGTCAATGGAGTGGCATGTTGGTCCCCCAACTTGGCTTACTATAAAACTAGAGTTACTACAAGCATTAAACGCGACTTCTGAAGACCCTGTACCCATAACACCCCATTGGAAACGAAAGACAAAAGGTACACAGGTCTTGACTATTGAATATCATGAACTTGCAGATTTCCCCGACTTTATAATTCCTTATAGAGTTTACGTAGGTGGACTAACACAGGTATATTGTTTTATAAATAAAATTTTATCATATTAATGTTGTTTGTTTTTATTTAATATTATTTCCCTTATTTTTTTGTATATTTATTTAGAACCTTGGTGTTGACGAACGGGTGATTATTCGAAATAAAGATGTTTCTGGAATTATTGTTGGAATAAGTGAAGCTGGGCCTGGATCATGGCAGGCGTTTAAAGTTGCACAGTAAGTTATTTGAATATTTATAATGTGATTTTGTGGCATAATAATATAACGAATTTAATAATTATCAATCAAGCGATGGCGAGGATGAAATGACCACTGAAGAATGGTTAATGAGTGCTTGGGAATTGCGTTGTCCTAATAATGAAATAGAATATGTCATTGATTCAGATCTAACTCGAGATGGTAAGTTTTTTGATAGATGTAGAGATGATTAACACGCCTCCCTTATTATTCGTATGCATGCATTTACGTATTCACATATTATGTCTTCAATTCTCATAGTCATCGACAGGTTAAAACAAGCCATAACCAGATACATAAATAATGTATCATACTATGACTTTGTGGATCACGTCAACACTCAATTATATCCCATGTATCTTACAATTGTTGCATATCCAATGTGCTTGAATATGATATTGAAACGACTACAAAACGGGTTCTATCGACATATTGAGGTATGCATTTTTTTTCTTTTACCATCTGGCATTTTTTTTTATATTTAATCTGCACACGTATAAACTACAATATAGGCTGTTCGAGAAGATGTCAAATTAATTCTTACGAATGCAACAACTTTCAATGAACCACGTTCGCGAATTGCACGTTTCGCTCGTGCGTTGCATAAAGATTTTGAGGGTCAGTTCAAAAGATATTGGCCGAAAAAGTAAATAATATAGATAGTAATAATGATAAAATTAATAATATGTAATGGTGAGGAAATATAGATTATATCTAGAGATATAATAATTCATATGTAAATATTTATATAATACTAATAATGATGTAACGGTGGGTTTTCCAAAAAAAATTTAAGTCATTCGAACAATTTCTTAATAAATTACATTTGCATATTTATTTATTTATTTATTATATTTATTATATTTTGAATAATAAAGTTAAGATGAATGAGCTGATAAATTTGCCCTCGTGGATTGTATGTAAAGATGTACATGTAACTAGTTGATTCCAAGCTATTGAACTAAATATATTATACTGATCAACCGAAAAAAAAGCAAGACGACGAAAATATTCGACCTTATTGCGAAAAGTATCCGAACGAAGCCGCGACTCTTTTACAAGTTTATCATGATTTAAAATTCGGTAAAAATTGTGATTTATACAATAAAACCTCATCATGTGATGCATATTGAGTATTTCCCTCTAAAAAAAAAACAGTAAAATCCTGGGCTTCATTAACTATCGAGGATAATGAAACACTTGGACGATGCTTTATAATAGGAAAAAAATCTTATCAAGAGGTGTGTGTTTTATGTGTCTTTGGTCTTTCCATTCCTCGCCCTGACTGAGAATACTAGACCCAAAATCAGATTATTATTCCATGTTCATCTTTTGAAATTTGGTCGGTTGAAAGGTAATCAATTATTTTATAATAATAATAATTAATCTATATATGAATGCTGATTCTTCTCGTGTAATTAAAATTGTGTTAGTCTTAATTATGTCAGTTTCTAATGATATTTGCTCTCAAAATAAAAAACACTTTCGCATAACGACGTAACATCAATATAAACACTCCCCAAATCAAAACAAAAAGACTCTCGCACCTTTTATCTTGTATTTGCCCATCGAACTCTCCTACATCCGCATCCGCATCCTCATCCTTAATGACGTCGTCTTCCAATGAATCAGCATCCTCCAAAAGGTATTGAAAATGTTATAATAATTCAAGTCCAAAAAAAGAATAAGTAAAAAGTAGCAAATTAATTGTCTATTCTTCTTTATATATATGTGTGTGTGTGTGTGTGAGGAAAATTCGATTGTAATTTTTTAAAGTTAATCGATATATTTTTGCGCAGTTTAATTCTGGCCATTAATACCCCCGACTCGACAATCATTTATTACAAAGTTAATGATGGTACATCGATATTATCGCCCCCAATCGTAAATCAAGGTGAAGAAGTAGGAGGAGCACAACAGCAGTCGGAGGGATAAAAAAAGAGTAATAGTAGTATTAACAGCAGCAGCATATTTAGAAAAGATAAAGAGCCATTGACTCTAAAGTGTTTGTTTAATACAATAATATAATGATGCTACCAATATACGCTTTAATATATATATTTTGGTTGCTTGTCGCGTTGGCGAGAAAGAATGGACGAATGAATAGTGACTTTTGGTGTCGATTTCTTTCATTTTTATTTTGTCCGTGTATGATAATAATATATTTACAAAAGATTTAACCAAATTTTCACTCTTTTTTGATGTTTCGAATTGTATGTGTTGCATGCTGGTTGTCATAGGATTTTTTGAAGCTTTCAGTGATTTAAACAGGTGAATGCTATTTTATTGGGAGGGGGGAAGATTGTAAGGCGATATTAGAAACATATGCCTCTCAATATATTGATGTATGATGAATGTATGTATGTGTATGTTTGTAGGTATATGTGTATGTATATATGTATGTTTGTTTGTTTGGTTGGTTGGTTGGTTGGAGATGAATGTGTGTGATGTGTTTTTTTTTTGATGAGTGTTTTGTTGTTTCGGTGTATTAATAAGTTTGGATGAAGATAAATGTCCCAAAATTTATCAAATCTAATAGCCAAAAAGTTCACCTTCTTTATCAATTCAATCGTTATCATTGAATCGTTGATTAAGTGAATGATCGATTAATTAATTAATTTATCAATCCAATAGTCAATTAATGAATTAATTAATCGAAGAGTTTGAAGCGAATTCAAAAAAATCAGCGTAAAGTTATATATAGCGATATAGAGAGAAAGAGCGAGAGATGTAAATATAAATATATGCTCCCTCATTTCAGAAATATTTATCTTGATCGACGTTGAGGAGGTTGAGGTGGCGGTGGATTACTCATAAACCGACGATTTCCTCCATAGAATCCACTATATGCCATTTCACTGTATCCACCATCATAGCGTGGAGGTGCGATCTCTCCATATGGTGGTAATCCAAATCCCATAGGATGCATCTGCATAGCATTATAATATCTTGGAGGTTCCCCAGTCTCATATCCCATTCCATATATTGGATTACCGGCATTTTGTCGGTTATTACGTTGTTGTTGCTGCTGTTGCTGTTGTTGATATCTTATTCGAAGATCTGCGTTAATCATGTGTTCTTCCTCTGTTTGATATCGTCTTGGAGGTCTTGATGGTTGCTGATATTGCTGCTGTCTTAGATCATTATGTCCATTAGTTGATGGTGAATTACTATTCGTGATTGATGTTGTCGCAGCTGTCGTTGATGATGATTGCTGTTGCTGTTGCTGCTGTAATTGCTGAATTGATGAATTATTAGATGCTTGAATTTCACGTCTTTTATTATTTATGAGTTGATTATGATCTTTTTTCAATTCCTCAATAGAAACTTGTTCTCGAGTTCTTTTATTATTTGATGATGATGTATTAGTAGTAGCAGTAGTATTAGTAGTATTCTCAATTACTGATGATGAATTTATTGATGCTGCTGTGGAAGATGGTGATTCTTGTTGACTCTTCTTCGTTCGTAGTTTGGGATGTGATTCACGATTTGAATTGTCCAATGGATTATTATTGTTATTATTATTATTATTATTATTATTATTATTATTATTATTATTAGTATTAATACTACTACTATTATTATTATTGTTACTGCTATTATTATTACTATCATTGTTATCATTGTTAATATTACTACTATTACTATTATTAGTTGTCGTAGTAGAGGTCGTAGCTGCTGTTGCTGTTGAGTTTGAGCCAACATTATTTTTTTCTGAAATGTTTGATGAATTTGATTTCTTTGGTGTATTTGATTTTATTGATAATGAAGAGTCTTTCGTGATAATCCCAGATTCTGGTTTAGATGATGAATTATTATTATTATTCGGATTACTTGAATCACCCTTCTTCATATTTCCAAATATCCAAATATCGCTGCTGATATCTGAAGTGTCATGCTCTCGTTTACGATGAATTGTAAATTTATCAATTTTTGTGAAATATTTATTACATCCTTTCAGTGTACATACAACAAGACTTGTGTCATAAATGTTTGCTTTATATCCGACACAGCTCTCAATTTCTTCTTCTGTAGTAATTTCATCAACCTTTGCTGGTCTCGCCGTTGCATATTCGACTGTTGACTTGCTAGTACTACTAATAGTTTCTTTGAGTGCTGTCGTTGTCTCACTTGATTGATCTTTACGTTTATCCGTAGGAACTGTCGATATATGATTCTTCTCATTTTCGTCAATTTTTAATTTACCATTACCACTAACAAAATTTTTCTGTGCTTCCTTTGATTCCACCACATCTTTTAGGAGATACGCACGATTTTCTGAAACCGGAAAAGAATTTGCAACTCCGCCACCTTTAGAAGAGCGCCGTGTCGCTGTTGTTTCCATTCTTTTTATAGAAGAAACAGTGTTACTTAATGCGGTCGTTGTGGTTGTTGTTGTTGTTGCTGCTACCGCATCGCTTTTCACCAAGGGTGGTCTACCTTGAAGGTCCATGTCAAATGAAGTAAAAAATGGGTATGTTTTTCAGTCAGGGGGGATAGCTGCGTGTTGCTGCAAAGCTTACTTATAATTGAACGAAATAATGAATATGAATATGTATCGGTATGTAATTTCAGGCAAAACTTGAATACCCAAGCTGCTTGATTCGAATTCGAATTGTAATTTCAGATCAATATTTAAAAAGTTAAAGTCTAGATTGCGAATCCGGCTTTCGAAGGGTAACACCACATCAAATAAAATTGTGCGACATCATTCGAGAGCCCCATGACCTATTAAGCACATCAGCCGAAATGGATTTTTCGGATTGGATTTTAGGTAAAAGTTATGGATGGGGGACGAGAATGATGATAATCGACGAAATCTGGCCAAAATTACGCTCATCACCAAAAGCGTTGAGGGCAAAGATGATTGATTGTTCTTGAAACAAACCCTAGCAAATCATCGATATATATGTAATAAATATATACACACATCTATATAATAATATTATTATCGTTATATTTTAGCATTTTTTCTTTATTGTACTGTACTGCTGACCCGACTAGGCCGACTTAACGACTGCCACTACTACTCCTCCTCCTATAACCACAATCACCCTTGTCACTACTACAATTACTATTACTACTACTTTACTTACTGACTATTGATTTTCTCTGACTACTTTACACTACTCTGCTTCAACGATGTCGGCGAATAAGCGTCGTACTGCCCCAGTAGCAGTTAACGAACCCAAGGCAACACATGGCAACTTGTCATCACATGGTCCTATCAATGGAGTCAAGATTGGTAAGGTATATTAATATTGTTGAAAGAATACACTATAGCTTTAAGATGTCTTTTGTGACTTCAAACAAACAAAAAACTAGACTGTCAACCTGTCAAGAAAAAACGGGCTTTGTGTTCTGGGGACCAAGCTTCGCGGGAAGTCACTGTAAGGGGTTGGTAGGATTCTTCGCAACAAGCACGAATTTATCATATATAATAATATAACATTTAGTTTAATAATGAAAAAATCACTATTGTCACAAGAGAGTGAAAGAAAGAAAAAAAAAAAAAAAGGGAGAGACCTTGCATCCTGCGTTGGTTTACCAACTCGTGTTGTGACCCCTAGGGCCAGTTTGACATGTCTCATGCATTTGATCTTTGCTGTTGCTTTTTTCTTTGAAATTTCATATTCCTTTCCTCTATTTCAAAATCAAACAAAAATACATTTTGCATCGGAAATGTATCGTTGTAACACTACAAGAAAAGATTAATAATATCTCTCTGTTTCATATCTTCCCTCATTATCTAGGCGAAAATGACCCACACAAAGTACTCAAAGTGTCTGCAAGTGATGGAAAAACGGGGGATGAATTTGAATTGGCATACACCATCACAAAATTGATTGGAAACGGCTCTTTTGGTGTGGTGTTTCAGGCGAAGCTAATTAATAGCAATGAAGATTCCGCAATCAAAAAAGTGTTACAGGATAAGCGATTTAAGGTGGATTTTCTTTGACTCGATTTTTTCTTCGTTATTAATCCTATGAAAAATTTTTTAATTGGTTTATTTTTTTTTACGGAAAAATCATTTAGAATCGTGAACTTCAGATTATGAGATTGGTTTCACACCCCAATATTGTTGAGCTGAAAGCGTTCTTCTATTCGAATGGGGATAAAGTATGTGCTACTCGATTTTCATTACGACCCTTTAAAAAAAAATTACTAACCTTATGTATATACATATATTAATATTCAGAAGGATGAAGTTTTCCTTAATCTTGTACTCGAATATGTGCCAGAAACAGTTTATCGTACTTCTCGTCTATACACAAAAAGCAAACAAACGATGCCAATGCTTCAAATTAAACTTTACATGTACCAACTATTCCGATCCCTTGCCTATATTCATTCACTGGGTATCTGCCATCGTGATATAAAGCCACAGAACCTGCTACTAAACCCGCTTACCGGCGTGCTGAAATTATGTGATTTTGGAAGTGCTAAAATTTTACAGGCAGGAGAGCCGAATGTTTCGTACATCTGTTCGAGATATTACCGGGCGCCCGAGTTGATCTTTGGTGCTACAAATTACACTACAAATATTGGTGAGACTTTTTTTTGATTAATTAACGAGCTCGATTATTTGATGGTTAATTGTTAATTTCACATCACTCGTGATATCGGTGGTTATAGATGTTTGGTCGACAGGTTGTGTTATGGCAGAATTGATGCTTGGTCAGCCTTTGTTCCCTGGTGAAAGTGGCATCGATCAATTAGTAGAGATAATTAAAGTTTTGGGCACTCCTACAAAAGAACAAATTAAGACAATGAATCCAAATTATATGGAACATAAATTCCCTCAAATCAAACCGCATCCTTTCTCAAAGGTGATTGATTGTTCTTTTCGGTTTTACCTTTAAAAATGAATTACAAGATTTATTTCATTTTATTATTATTAAGAAATACTAATAATTATATTTCAGGTATTTCGCGCTCGAACACCCACGGACGCAATCGATCTTATATCACGCCTCCTTGAATATACCCCATCTCACCGATTAACAGCAATCGAAGCAATGGTTCATCCCTTTTTTGATGAACTTCGTAATCCGGAAACAAGGCTTCCGAATGGAAAAGAATTGCCGAAATTGTTTGATTTTACAGTTCGAGGTTTGATAAATTCATTGATCTTTAATAATAAAAAGTCTGAAATGTGCTCACTTTATTTATTACAATTCTTCAGAATTGTCAATTCGTCCTGATCTCATTGCGCGGCTTGTGCCTCAACATGCAGAAGAAGAATTGCTGTCTAGAGGAATCGATATTCACAATTTTACACCTTTACCTCAGAGTAAAATGCGCGCGACATTGGATTAATTAAAGTAAAAAAGAAAGAAATAATACTGCTGTTGCTGTGGTTGTCTGTTACAAATATACATCCCCATTTGTACCGCTAATTTTAAATACTCCCTGTCATCATCATCAACATTTTTCGTAATTTTTCTTTAATAATAATCTCTTTTACTTCTTTATATCACACCAAATTAATATTATTATTATTATTATTATTATTCTATTTTATTATTCCTTTCACTTAATTAGATTAGAATTTAATTCACTTGAATTTTACTTTAAACGCATATGAATATGCGTGACCTGATGTTTTCTATGTTTTATATATATATATATATACTCTGCTACAATTCGGCTACGATGATGTTGACTGATTATACATGTCAGTATGTTTTTTTATTATTTCATCACAACCACTATTACTAATGCTATTACATCTTTTCTCATTTATATATAAATACTTTTTAGTTTCGATTTCTTTATTATTATTATTATAATTATTATTATTATTATTATTATTATTATTTTATATTAGTGTCAAAATTTTTCATCATACTCGTGTAATATCAGTCCTAGTTTAGTTGATAGGCGAGGTGTTTGGTTTGTTAATGTTGGATAGTTTTAGATGGAAAGTTAAGAGAGAGTTGCAATTTTTGGACAATTTTCTTTTTACTTTATTATTTTGCATACAGATTTATTACCATATTATAATTTATAATTGAAAATACGTACTTACTGTGTATATGTATATATATATATATCGATATGTTTGGTAATTTTGGAGAGATGGATGTGGATAGAAGATAGATTATGCAAAAAAAATGTTGATGAAGAGACAATTTATCTTGGTGATCGTTTTTTTTTTTAATATGATAGACAGAGAGCTAGCTAGATGGTTTTTTAATATGACCACTTTTTTCAATTCTATTATTATTAATCAAGATGTATAAACAAATCATTTTTCAACTTCATTTTTTCATTCAAAAAAAAATAAATACGCAATTATTGAAAATTAAATACATAAATTTATTACTTACTTGTATTCGATACATATATGTTACAAATTATCAACGACAGCATGCTGATCTTCACCCAATCACCTTATTTTAGATTATTGGTGAAACAACGCGTCTGGCTAACTGAAGATTCTTCGGAAATTTTCAATTCCGAATGATATCTTGCCCAAGAAACTAATTTTACAAACGACGCTGATCTTTGTGTTTTCTGCTTTTGGATTCACTTTGTTTATTAGTCTATACTCTGATAAAGTTATTGAACTTTCGATATCTACCACAGTTCCTTCATTAATTGCACGACAAAGACCCATGCCTGCATGTCGCTCAATGATGGGAAATATGCGATGATTCTAATATAAATTCATAGGTCTAATTAGAAGCTTTGATTTGTGTAGTTAATGACTTGAAAATGGGACATAGCGGCACTGAAGGAATGCAAACATACCTTTAACATTGAATTTCTAAGAAGTATTGAAACAGTAGAGATTTTCATAAGTTTGCAGACATATTACGGAATTAATAATGCAGAGAAAACCTTTAATATGCAATCTGTAACGAAAAAAACCGAAATGAAAAACTTATAATTGGATTCTAACAAATACACGTAACCATGCTAAATTAGTTATAATTTGAAAACGAATTTATTATACATAAATTAAAACGATGCACGTTCTCCATTGCATTTAATAATAAGCTCACAACGTCGCTTCATCGAACCTACAAGATTGATTAGAATGATATCTCTCCACTCCTTCATCATAAATCTCTAATTCATTAAGATTTTGTGGCATTCGTCTCTAACAATTCCCCAAAGATTTTTTCGATAGGATTTAAGTCAGGACTGTTTGAGGGCCAGTCCATAACTTCTAAAACATTATCATGAAAAAAATTTTTTTAGCAAGACGACTTGTATGCTTTGGATCATTGTCTTGTTGAAGTCGCCAATTGTTTTTAAACATTTGGTTAATTTCTGGACGGAATTTCAACATCAAATTCAGCATTCGTTAAAGCAAAATAAACTTTGTTTTCCCTGTTTCACAAAATCCACCCATGCAAAAATCTTTACACGATCTTTTGGCATATAACGGATTAGTCGTGCGCCTTTATGCCAGTGTTTTACAGTATTTTGATATAATTGAAAGGCTGTTTCATCTGAAAATAAGGTCTTGAGATGTTTTTTTTTGCCCATTCAACCCGTTTTTGTTATGGCCTGTAAGGTATGCTGTTCCAGTGTTTTTTTTAATTTTCCATAAATGTAATAGGTCTTGACGTTGTGTGAATGTTATTTCAGAATATTAAAACCAAATAATATTTTGTTTATATAGTCATGGCGAAAAAATGTTCCGTCAGATATAAACAAATCAAATCGCAAGATCAATGTTTATTTTTGAAAATCTCGAAATTTTGCCTATGAATCAAAAACATCTGGTGTTTATATAAAATATTTATTGATATACGATACATTTAAACTTTTTGTCAAAACGTTTCGTGACTGAATTACGAAGCTCCAAAAACAATTTCACTAATAAAAAATGTTTCTTATGAAATTTTACTTTATAATTCAGGTATGAATGTTGCTGACATAATCTTCTCATTGCTTTATAAAAAAGTCTATTAATAGAATGGTTTTTAACAAGAAACATTTAATATATTAAAATGACATCTTATTATATTTATATTTCTTTTATCAGATTTGAAATTATAATTATTATTAGATCTGATACTTTAAAATCTAAATTGAATAAGATATATAAATTATATTATGTCAAATTACATGATTTAATATACAGTTACATCTCTTTAAGTATATTCTTTCTAAGTGCATGTACTATATAACTTCTCTCTAAATGCATAATATATTCTGATCCCAGCTTATAAGAACTCTATATATTTTAATCTCTATAATTGCACATCTTTTCTAAATGTATATTTTTTTATTTTTTTTTATTATAGTTTCAAGAAGAATATACTTAAAAAGATATAACTATATATATAAAAAAAATAAAAAATATATTTTTATATTTTTTTCAAGAATTAAGTAATTATTAAGCTTTAAAAAATTTCAGATTTAGTTTTTCACAAAGAATATTTTTAATTAGTATTATAAAGTTTATTAATTTATTTATTTTTGATTTTATTTATAAAAAATTGATAATTTTTCATATAATTTGATGCAAAAAAATTGGTATATCAATTCAAATTTTAATTAATCTTTATATTTTTTATATTATTCTATTATATTTTAATTTACTAAAAAAACTAAAATAAAATTATTTTTTTTAAAAAAAAGATATTTTAAATATTATCACTATCAATTTATAATATTAAAACTTCAAATTATATAAGCAGATTATTCTAGATTTAATAAATATATATTCTAAATTTTATAAAAATTGAATCAGTAGTTATAAAGATATTAAAATTCAAAGCTTAGTAATTAAATTATTTAATATATAATTTTTATATTAATTTTAATCAAATTTTATATAGTAAAATTTAAAAAAATAATAATTCAAAAAAGTTTATTATTAGTAAAATTTTTTTTATAAAAAATATATAATAAAAATTTAAATAAATCTCAATCTTTAATAACTTAATTAAATGAAATAGAATTAAAACTTATTTTAAAAAAATAATCTATTAATATTTATCTGATATACTAATCTTTTTATACTGAATCATATTAATATTATAAGTTTAATAAATATTTTTTATTTTTAAAAAATACATAATTTTTATTATAAAATTATGATTTATTTATTTATAAAATTTTTATTTATAAAATAATATTATTAATTTTATATAAATTCAAAATAATATCTTTTAAACTTTGTTATACATCTGTTACTTTTTAATAAGCTATAGATAATATACTTGAAGATTATAATTAAAAGTTTATCATAATT